TGCAACGGGATCCCAGATTGACTAAGCTGCTCCCCAAACCCTAAACCCTAAACCCTAACCTCCGAAGCGGTTGCATCTGCTGGGGATTTGGGGTGCCTGGCATCTTCTTGTGTCACGGTGGGAGGGGATGTGGGGGATTTTGCTGAATTTAGGTGCCCTGGAGTGTGGACTTTCGGGCGAAGTGTGCTTCTGAGGGCCTAAGGAACGATGCCCTTTATACCGCAGTCATAGAAGCTTATACAACTTCCTTCTAAACTTAAGGACGACAAGAAGGTCTAAGGTTCGTAGTAGAAGCGTGCAGGGCCCCTGCTTGTAAGGATATTTGGTCTCCAAGGAAGCCCTGATGACATTCCACCCTTGCACCCTAAGGGCTAAGCCCTTTGCACCCCAGTCATAATGGACCCTAGCTCTTACATGACCAAGAGCACAGGGTGATCTCATCGGAGATGTTTGCACGTCTTCATCTCGTTGAAAACCAAGACTTCGACTTGCACTTCATTTCGAAACGTTGAGAACAGCCAGCAGATTGGGCATCCCGTTCGAGACGCACCCCAGCCGTACTGAACACTTTGAAAGCTGAACATACCCTGACCCCAGACCCTAAAAAACCCTAAACCCTAAACCCCAACACAGGCTACAATGGCCGGGGAGGTGTTGTCAGATCCAGCATCGATGGAACGGGCTTTGTTGACTCGGCTGCTGGGGCGCCGAAAGAGCTGACGATACAGTTCCACAACGCGCCCTGGCCGGTCCAGGGATTTAGGGTTTAGGGTTTAGGGTCCTGGCTCGTAAACATTATGATGTCTTTATATATACGTCCTTGCAAAGGTAGGTCTTTTGTTCGGTTCCAGGTTGACCCTTGACCCTCAACCCTGGCTGGTCAAGGGTGGCTGAGAAGAAGCGGCTGGCAGCAAGAGCCTTGGGGCTTTTCCCAAACGCAGCCAAGTACCTGCATGGTCTAAAGTAGGGTTTCTATACTAGGAGCTGTTATTATTATTTGGGTAAGTATCCCCCATAAGCAGGTACTTCGGACGCTTATAAGGCTTTTAGGCATGATGGTGTCAAGCTCGGATCGTTTCGAGCTCGGAAGGTTCGGGGCTTGACGGGACGGAGCCTGACCGGATGTTGCTGTTCAAAGGGCTCTAGAGCTGGGTTTAGGGTTTAGGGTTTAGGGAATGTAGGGGGCCTGAAAAATTGACAATACTACATTGGGCTTCCTGATGATAAGCATAGCAGAATGTCCCCCCCCCAAACCCTGTTCTAGTTTTTCAAGCCTATATACTAGGTGGGGTATGATCCCCCCAATTTAGAGCTTTTTTTCTCATAAGGGATCCATAAGGCATCCTTCATCCTAGCTACCCTCATTTTGCTCCTGAGGTCCCCGAACAGTGTAGTTCATCCGAATCTTGCCTGCTGCAGAGGTAGATATAGAAATCCTGAACCTTACCCGGACCCTTAAAAAAACCCATCCTAAACGAACTTGGAGTTAAGGAGCCCCATTAAGGAGCCCCTAGAAAGAGTAGGTTCAGGTAGTATAGGGTTCTTAATGTTTGACTGTACTATTGTGGTGGTTCCTTATTATAGTCAGAGTATAATATACCCCAAAATCCAATTCAAAAAGAATAAAAAAAATAAACCTTTAACCCTGCACCTTCAAACCCATCCCAGGAGATGGCTTATGCCACCGAGTATCCCAAATACGTCACTTTTGCCATGGTGCGGCAAGCGGACACTGACGGCACTACCACCTTGGCGGACAACTTGGTTGCTGCTTGCCTGCTTTGTCCGACGGTCTCGGGGGGCGGGGGTGTTCTGAGCAGCACGATGGCTTCCCATAGGGGTCCATGGGCCCAAGTAGTATACGCTTTGTAGATATATAGGTATTTGGGCCAGGGTATATAAAATACAACCCTAAACCCTAAACACGTAGAGCTGGGTACATGGACCCTTAGGGCCTTTGGCTTTCTGAACAGCATGTCAGGCAGATGGCAGGCATAGAACTTCAGCACAAAACCCTGAACCCGCCCAAGTCGGCGCCAGTAAGAGCTGAGACTGCGAGGTACAAGGCAGGCTTCCCACGGGCCTGCTGGACAAATTCCGCCGGCTTGGTGTGCAGTACGTAAGATATCTGCATGATGAAGCAGAAAGAGACGCTCCAGACGCTTGGCATTGGCACAAGTTCTCATGGGATCAACCCCCTAAGCCCGTAAACCCCAAACCCCTGAACCCTAAACCCGCCATCCGGCGACCTGAAACTCGCGAGAGTGGATTGGGGAGGAAAGGGGCTTAAGAAACTAGGTTATTCTAGAAAAACAATTAGGTTTTTTTACTAGGTTTTTCTAGAAAAATCCTAAACCTTGAACACTTATAAACCTGGCCCATCCTGTGCCAGCTTTGGCATTAATCGAGGGAGGGTCTACATGATGCATGAACTAGCAACCACTGCTTTTCTTGCGCACCACCCCTAAACCCCTAAACCCCTAAACCCCGAACCTTATCCCTAAACCCTGAACCTTAAATCCCTAAACCCTGAACCTTAAACCCCTAAACTCTAAACTTTTAAATCCCTAAACTCTAAACCCTGAACTTAAGCCTTAAATCCCAAAGCCCTGAACCCTGAACCTAAACCTTAAATCCCTAAACCCTAAACTCTAAACCTTAAATCCCAAAGCCCTGAAATGAAGAGCTCCAAGTCCCAAGGACTTCTACAACTCCTGGCAGGGAGCCTTCCAGGTGGAGAGCCTTGAGGAGGCCATGCAGACCCTAGGCCCTTTAGGGGGTTTGAGGTTCAGGGGTTTAGGGTTTAGGGTTTGGGGTTTAGGGTTTAGGGCAGGAGGTTCAGGGGTTTAGGGTTTAGGGTTTAGGGTTTGGGGTTTAGGGCAGGAGGTTCATGTTTACCGCTGTGCAGATTTCTGATGTGAACGCTTGCCGCCTGTCACATCTCAAGACTTTTTTCGGCAAAAGGGGTGCTTTGTT